AATCTATATTTTTTAAAATGAATACATTTAGTTATTTAATTGAAAAGTTGATGGTATTTATTATCGGGGAAAAAATCACTCGATTTAACGAATTTTTCTATATTACGAATTAAGCGAACAACAAATGACTCGTTATATTGAACGTCCACTGTATATGGTCTTTGTTATAGAACGAACTATATTTTTATAAAAAAAAAAAAAAATTAAATTAATTTGAAAAAGTTATCATTAGTCCTCGACCACTATATATATTTGTTAAAGATAACTTTGTTCTAATTTTTTTAGAGTTATTTTATTTAAACAAATACTACTACTACTCATTCCTCTCTACATGTATGAATTAGCGCTTATCGAAGTCTTTCGAAACTTTCGGTTGGCTAGTAATTTATATAAAATAAATTTTACCCTTAACTCATTTTCCTTCGAAATTCAGCTTTGTATAAAGGTCGGTAGATTACTTACTGAAGGCATGATAAAAATTTAAAACAACTATTGCATCATTAAATCCATTTCAGTGTTTATTAAACCCAGGATTTTGTAGAAATTCCCAACTTAATAACTGTAGTTCTTAATAACTTTGTAACTGCTCTGTAGAGACACACATTTTTTATATAAGGCCTTTCTATATAATAAGGTAACGATATTGGTATATATGTATGTAAGTAAATGACTCATATCGACTTATGTAATTTAAATGTTCAGAAAACGGATTCTTTCCTAAATAAAAGCAGCTGAATATTTAGTTGAGAAAATAAGTCAAAAGTTTTAGCGAATAATACGAAGCTTTTAGTTCACAATAAAAAAAAAATTAAAAATCAATCAACACGCTAAAATAAACCTTGACATAAAATACGAATACGCAATGCAGTCGGACAACAACAAAAAGCGGACAGAACGTGCTTCATACGTGTATGCGTGCGTACATTGCCAATGTCAACCGCCTTTTTTGCCACCCCACTGCCACCGCCTAACTTTCCACAACGCTATTAAGCAAGTCTACAGCGAACCTAACCTGCTATCCACCCCACCAAATATTTTGTTTGGATTCGTCGGTGATTTGATGTTTTCATTCGTTGTGGATCAAATACAGCAATAAACATTTGTAACAGCTCGGCTCGGCCCGGCCGGCGTGTAACTCGCAGCTATTCGCTCTATACACGTGCGTTAGATCAATGTTTGTTATAACAATGTTGCTGTTGTACATACATACATACATACATACATACATACATACTTATGTAGTTATATACTATGTACCTATAATAATATGTACTTCCAATCGCAATTATTAAAACTTTTCATACATTAACATAAAAATATTGCACTATAATTGAAAAACTGACTTTAAATTGAATTTAAGGGCACACATTTCAACTTTTAAAAATACTATTCCCACAATTTACAAATTTTCATGTCGATGTCTAATTTCCGCATAATCGCAACGAATATGTAATTGCAACAATCAAATATTAGCCGTTTAGGAAGTTACATACAAACACATGTATACATAGCACACTAAATACAAAAGGTTCACAAATCACAATTTTCCAAAATCGAAAAATAATATAACATTAGGCTGGGCCGATTTTGTATGGGGGAAAATAAAAGGCATTTGCCCGTATTGGCATAGTAATATTATGATGTCTTAGGTCTAAGCCAATTGCTATTGGCCACGAATGTACAAAAATTTCTGTAAACTTCCTATATTTGCAACTTTTGTATTGTATGCATAAACCTAAGTAAACTAATTAGTGTTTCTAGAAGTTGTGCCTGTTCAGTGTTTCCATACTCATTTGCATAAACAAAATTTGTCCACGATGATGGAAAATAATGGCTTTTTTATTAGAGCTACCGAAATTGTTCCTAAATTTGCAAAAATTCGCAAACTATAGCTAATATTAAAAAAGATTAGAATATTTTAAACCAGCGACCTAAATGCACGTCTGCAATATTAATGCTGTTCTTTACATCTCTTTTTGACTATAGGCCAGTGCAATTATCAAGAGAACAATTAAAATTTTTTTGAAAAAAGATAACTTTGAAATTAAGGATAAGCTAAAGGGCTTCGAGAAATGATATTGACTTTATCTTTTGCGTTAACGGATTCATTATCTAATAATATGGACCAAACCTTTTTGCTGAACCCAAAATTTTGAACAAAAAACAAAACAAACAAAATCGACTAGTGTGCTGTGGGTCACTTGGCCGTCGATGCGCGGGCTCTTACAATTAAAATAAATGACTAATATTTTGCAGGCTTGTTGTTGACTTCATGATACATACAATATATTTTCACTATTACCAAGGGATTTAAGAGAGAGAGAGAAAATTAGATTTTCGACCCGCCCTAATGTACATCCCTTTTTTATAAACTGAAACAGTATGGATATGTCTCTTCCGATATTAATGCGCTTCTGGACAACTAATCTTGTTTGTAAGAGAAAAGGAGTATTGTACGCTCAAAATGCAAAAACAGGTTGCATAATTTTTGAGGCGAGTGCGGTATTTTAAAATACAAAGTGTCATAACTAAAAAATATTTTTGTATATATGTACCACCCTAGTGTACAAAAATGCCTGTTTAAAAGTAAAGTTGGAATTTGTATGCTCTCACCCCTAGGATTGTTCTATTCCGAAAAAATATACCACAATTTTATTATTTTTTTGAAATCATTAAATATTTAAACAACTTGTAACAAAATTTTATAGGTCCGCCAAAAACCCCAGAAAATGCAATGGGGGACCAATAAAAAATCTTTAGTATCAAAAATGGTTAAATAAACAATGGGGTATTATTACTGGAAGTCTCCTGCAGAGAACCAGAGTTTTCCGATCAAAAAATATTGATTTTCCAGAATTCTATACCATTTGTACGAAAAGTTGTTTTTTCCCATATAAAATACATGGAAAACTTTGCGCTTTGAGCGACCTCTAAACATTTTTGATTTCAAAATAAAAAATGGGGACCACCCTAATGTACTCGCCAATAGAAATGTTAAATTATAAAAAAAAACTTCAATAATTCTTCTTTGAAATAGATATGCTCTGAAGTAAAAGTAAAGTTTCTCGTAATATTTAATCGTTTCCACGTAATCAGTTATTTGGCATTGAAATGTTGAGATTTTTACGTTCAGAATTTTGTATTTATGTGTGCGATACGTACATAATAGAATTGCATATGTACAATTTTTTACGACAGTTTAGTTATGGCTTTTTCGTTTCTAACCTTAATTGCTAGTTTTCTAGAAACGTGTTTTGTTTATAAATATTGGTTATTTAGAAATCAAATGTTTTATGTATAACCTGTTTTATGATGGTAATACAAATTGTCTTTTAAATTCGTATGGCCTAATCAACTAGAGCAAATTTGTTAAAAATTTAAATAAATATAAATGAAGTAATCTTCCATCAAAAAAAGATCTTTGATAAAGTCTGGGAAAAAAACCACTTTTCTACATTACATTAAAAAAATTTGAACATTACCTCTAACTTAACGGTATTCTTGAAAAAAAAAAACAAAAATTGCGCTGTTTCACTATTTACTTACTGTCGCTATATTCCTCAAAACTGATAAGAAGAGTAACTATAGACTCAATAACTCCGAACCTGTTTGCCTATGTAACACTTTTCTTAACGAACTTTAGTATTTATGGCAGTGGATATACATACATATTGTCTGATTTGGTAATATTTAATTGCTTGTAATTGCCTTAGATTGACTTAAGGCAATAAGGTTCTTAAATAAAGAATTGCCACAGGAGCTTGAGTGAAGACAAGTGAACCGAATATGTACGTACATATGTATATATTGATAATTGACCATTCGCATGTCTGCTTCCCTATTAAAATTTTTATTTTTTTTTACTTCGCCTGACCTACATAACTAAAGCGAAGTTAAAACTGTTAAAAACGTCATTTTGTCGCGTTTATAAGTTTCTTTAAAATATACAGTAACATAATTAACACTTGCTAAAATATTCAATTTCATTATCATTCACATTCGTAACCTAATTATCGGACGTCTGGTTACGCATTTTATACAAGGGTATGTAATAATTAAATTAATTTTAAAAAATCCCTATTTCCAATTCTTAGGTAAGTATTAAACGGCAAAGTTAGCACTTGTCCCATTCTAACCAATCCCTTCATATCAAATTTTTTTATAGTAAGTATAGCGCGAAAAAAATAAAAATCATAAAATATTCATTGTTTTTTTATCGAAAAAAATCAAATGTTAACTATTGTTTTTTTAATTTTTTATTGGTTAAACTTGAAAAATAAAAATCATTGTACATAGATTACAGTAGGACGAACAAATGCGAATATGTCAGTATAGATGAAATGGTAAGATTTAAAAAATTATGATTATTTTACAACCCTGAAAATTTTAAGATTTCCAAAATTAAAAGCAAGGAGTTTGAACATTGTTGCAGAATTTTATCCGGTTATTGAACAAAATTATTACATTTGGGGTTCGATATGTAAATTTGTGTTTTTGCTATCCTAAAATTAAAATACTAAAACACATCAAATTTGGAGGGATATACTTGATTCAAATATTTACTGATGAACTTGTTTTAGGACTTAGCATATATGTGCGAAGTACTATCGTCTACTAATAAATGATTAAATAAATTCACATCATATAGATAATCAGCCATTGAAGAGTTAATAATTTATTTTACGGCTACATATGTATTTCCTACTTCGTATAGAAACGAATCGAACGATAAAATATTGTGAGGAATTCAGCTAAAGCTACAGAAAGCCTTCTCAAATTTTGGTTTCTAAATTTTTAATAACTAAATGTGTATGCACATAGAAAAATTTGCAAGCAATGAATGTGTATATGTTTGATAGTAATTATGAATATATGTATGTACATATGCCAAAGCAAATAAAAGGGCGCGAGATTATGCAATTAGAATTTTATTAATTTGAGATGCTCTCACATATGTACATACATGTTTATATAAATATTAAATATAATTTAGCACTTACATCACTGTCAAACAAGAGGAGCTGCAAACAATATAAATTGTTAATAAAGTAGAAGCAAATTAATATTAAATAGTAATTAAATATACAAATAATTTGAATGTCTAAATGTGATTTTAATGGGTACTTTTTCTAAAAAAGGTTATGTTTTTTTTTCAAAACGTACATATTTAAAATATTAAATACTCGCATATACATATGTGTGTGTATGCATATAAATAAATATACATATATGTATGTATGTATTGTATTAATGTAAATAATGTTTTCAAGGCAAAAGCTGGTAACCGGCTATTCGATTAGCAACTTTCTTGTCGGTTGATAGTTGAATAGCAGTTACTCGATTAACCGTTCGTTTTCGAATAACCGTTCACTTTCGACTAACCGCTCACCTTCCAGTAGTCTGAAAATCGAGTAAGCGAAATTTTCGATTGGGTCTTGTCAATGAGTGTAAGTAATAAAGATATATAGACATAAACCCAATCTTTATTGAAAGGAAACAACTACTCGAAAATGGACGGCTAGTCGACTAGTTGGTTGAGAGCGGTTAGCGAAAGGAAATGGTAAGTCAATAAAATGGTGTAGACTTTTTTTGAAACAACTTTTATCAATCGACTAACTCAATCTTTATTGAAAGGAAACAACTACTCGAAAATGAACGGCTAGTCGACTAGTTGGTTGAGAGCGGTTAGCGAAAGGAAATGGTAAGTCAATAAAATGATGTAGACTTTTTTTTGAAACAACTTTTATCAATCGACTAACCGATTAGTGGACCAGTCGATTGACGAGAGCTATAGCAAGCAACCCAACAAATCGCACACCGCTTTCAAAAGAGTTACAACTAAAAATAAAACGCTTGCCAGAAAATGCGAAAAACCATTTCTTAGCACATGATAATCATATGGGCAAGGGCGACTTTAGCTTAGGTGTTTGCTTTTTTAACAAATTATAACAAAAATTTGCTCCAGCTTTTGCTGAAAGGTAACTAAAAGTTCTGTGTACATTTTTAGCGCATAATCTCAAAAATGCCAAATTTTGAGTTGTGACTCTTTTGAAGACGGTGTGCGAAATAGCAATATTATCCTCCATTTAGCAATTCTAGTTCAGTCAAATTATACCTTAACCCTCAAGATATATATTTAAGGGAACAACAATTACAGCAAACGAATGCTTATGACCCCTTTATTAACACATTAAAATATATCTTCACCAAAACTCCCAATGCATGAAAAATTCTAAAAAATGTATAATTTCATATGCATTTTTTAGTTAATCCATAAAAGGTTCGTCTTATCAATCAGTACAACGTAGATGGTTTGTATGATTGCTTGGACTCGCAAGGTGATGCTGGCGTCGAGGTATTTAAAATGCCCTAAAATTTCGGATATGTACGTTTAGAAACCCAGCAAATAGAAAAATGTACGTTTTGCCGACAGTGCGTTTTTTGCACATTTTTCTAATCCCTTCTTCTTCTTCTTTTTCGGCGCTGTAACCGCCTAAGCGATTTTGGTCGAGTTCAGCAAAGCACGCCAGTCGTTTCTCTTCTGTGCCAACTGACGCCAATTGGAAACGCCAAGTGAAGCCAAGTCCTTCTCCACCTGATCTTTCCATCGCAGGGGGGGCCTCCCTCTTCCTCTGCTACCACCAGCGGGTTCCGAGTTGAATACTTTCCGAGCTGGAGCGTCGGTGTCCATTCGAACGACGGAGCCGCTGTATTTTAATTCGCTGCACTATCCATGTCGTTGTAAAGCTCATACAGCTCATCGTTCCATCGTCTCCGGTACTCGCCGTCGCCAACGCGTAAAGGCCTGCAAATATTCCGCAAAATCTTTCTCTCGAGCACTCCAAGAGCCGCCTCATCGGATGTTGTCATTGTCCATGCGTTTCCGCCATATACCAGCACGGGCATGATGAGTGACTTATAGAGCGTGGTTTTCGTACGTCGAGAGAGGATTTTACTCCTGAATTGCCTACTCAGTCCAAAGTAGCACTTGTTGGCAAGAGTGATTCTGCGTTGGATTTCCATGCTGACATTATTATCGGTGTTAATGCTGGTTCCCAAGTAAACGAAATTCTCTACTTTCTCGAAATTGTAACTGTCAACAGTGACGTGGGGCCAAGGCGTGAATGTGCTGACTGTTTGTTTGATGACAGGAGATACTTCGTCTTGTCCTCGTTTACCACCAGACCCATTCGCTTTGCTTCCCTATCCAACTTGGAAAAGGCAGAACAGACTTCGCGGTTTTCGTTGCCGATGATGTCGATGTCATCGGCATAAGCCAGCAATTGCACGCTCTTGTAGTAAATTGTTCCTGAGCGGTTCAGTTCTGCAGCACTTTTTATCTTCTCCAACATCAGATTAAAGAAGTCACATGAAAGGGAGTCACCCTGTCTGAAACCCCGTTTGGTGGCGAACGGCTCGGAGAGGTCTTTCCCAATTCTGACGGAGCTGGTGGTATTAATAATAATAATAATAATAAATTGGCGCTTACACATATGTTAGTGTTTGGCCGAGCTTCTCCTCCGATTTGTGGCGTGCGCCTTGATGTTGTCACACAAAGCGGATGGACCTACAGTTTTACGCCGACTCCGAACGGCGATTGTATTTTTATGAGAAGCTGTTTTTCATGGCTGAAATACACTCCGAGGTTTGCCTACCGAGGGACGACAGCTGTTAAGAAAAAACCTTTTTTCTATATTTTTTGCGATGTTGCTTTGCTGTTGTTGACCAGGGTTTGGACTCAGGCGTTGCGGAGTGGAAGCGTGCACTGCTTACCACTACATCACAGCGGCCGACTGGTGGCGGCTGCTGGTATTGCTCAACATCATTTTACACAGCCGTACGAGTTTTGAGGGGATGCCAAATTCAGACATAGCGGCGTATAGGCAACTCCTGTTAGTGTTGTCAAAAGCGGCTTTAAAGTCGACAAATATGTGGTGAGTCCTTTTCTCGCGGGTCTTTTCCAAGATTTGGCTTATTGTGAATCCCGAACAAACAACAACAAACAATTTTTAATCCCGAAATGATAGAAAACGCCTTGAACTAGAGCTGTCAAACTATCGATAGTCAAGTCCATCGATGTTTTACGATAGTCTTAAGAGTGACTATCGATACTATCGATAGTATCGACCCATTTCATGTTTTTTTAAATCCATTTATTTTTCGTTATCTTGCTTTTGTAAATTTGTTTATTTTAGTATCGAGAAATATTGCTAGAAATTCATTCGCCGTGTAAACAGTCAAAAACGATTTTATAAATTTTCCCAGCAATTCGCCTTTCGGAAATAAAAAAATTCTTTCGAAAGACACTTTACATGCAAGGTGCCACTGCTCATGCTACTGCTTTCTGAAATTTCTCAATTTGACAGTCTTTTGCATTGCCCGGTCTGACACGCTCTTAAGACGGCAATGTAACCTCTGCTATTCCCGCGCTTAAAATAAAGAATGGCGCTTTTAGAAATAATGCCATGAACCAACTAAACAGATCACGTAGCACGGCAACCGCGTATTTGTAATTGCATTTGAGAAAAAATAAAAAATAATAGTTGATAACGTCATTTTTTAATCGGTTGTTTCATTCATATTGCGAAAAAAATACTTTTTTCTCGCACACTGTCCTGGGTGATCCTTATTTGTTCGTTCATGAAATAATGCTGTCAATTTTTGTTCCCCTTGAACTAATACGTGCAAATGTCAAAAGCCTTTCCTAGCGCTGGAATATGCTATCAATGAAACGATAGTGGCGATAGTACTAAAACCATCGATAGTTATTTCAAGTGACCAGACTATCGATAGTATCGTCGATAGTTTGACAGCTCTACCTTGAACTTTCGTTTAGTTTTCGTAATCGAAAATTGTTCGTTCTTGTTGTATGAAAACAATAATTTTAAAATTCAGTGCATTCGCGATAACTCGAACTAATGAAAACCAGACTTGTCCGGGTTAACGAATTGTTCGAGTTTTCAAATGTTATGTATTTTTATACCAGAGTGCACTATGTTCACATAACGGTTGTTTGTAACAGCCTAAAGGAATTGAGATAAATATATGTACGTAGACAAATGTACACAAGAATGAGGAGAGACATCGATTAAGCCCTTACTGTCTGTCCGTCAGTCAGTTCGTAGTAAGGCGCCTTTAAATGAAAATTTACGCATCTATCAGCAACAGTGTAAGCATCGGCAGTTGTACAGCTACTAGCTAGAGTAAGACTCTAATAGTGATGTGGACATGTTAACAAATAGTTTCTAATATGTTTTCGCATAGGAAATGAAAAAAAAACAACAACATTTTGTTCGAGGCTTAGAGCAATCATATATTTTTCGAGTTTTAAAGTAGTCAGTGGAGTAAAAAAAATATTCAAGTTTCCGAACGTTCGAGTTACCGCGAGTGCACTGTATTTATTCAAACTGAACATTTGAAAAATTGCAGAGGAGCGTACTACTATTTGTTAGCTTTCAGAAGGTCAGACGCACCATTATAACATGAATTAAAAAAAAAATATTTGTGAAAATATAAATAATTGCTAAATTTAATTTTTCTTTTTTTTTGTTTGGATTTTAGCAACTATAAAAAAGCATCTATGAACGGGAGCGTATTAAACAAACAATCGAATCAGAAAATTTCCCGGAAATCATCAGAAAATTTATCCATTTTACTACAGTTTTCGGTGCTTTTCTAGATATACATATGTTTCGTATACACACTTTAGTGGAAAAACACGACGAAAAATAGAATCAGAAAACGGATAAAATATCCAATTTTTATACGGAATTTTTTTCATTTCCGAATACGTGACCGAATATTTTGCTGACTGGGTTTGATTGAAAATTCACATTCAGGGACAATTGAATTGAAAGCTTATCAGATCTTGATTACAAATTAGCGAATACAAAAGTGGGTAATACAGGGAGGCGCCAAAATAATGTATTTTATGAACATACCATAGGTACGTGAACATAGACGTATATACACATTGACATACATACATACATGCAAACATACTTATTAATCATTGTCATAC